AAAAAAAAACCAGAACTTTAATTATAAAGATTGCAGTTTAAATTGCGAGTTATAAAACTGACAACCGAGTGAGTAGTAATTAGCCAATGTTTACATATAGATGTACACATAAAGTGAACTTTCAATATCGCAGACATAGTTTAAATCGCCTCATAAAATATGTCTCAACAACAACAACAAATAACCAGTTTTATTTCTACTGCTAAAGTCGATAAACTGTCAGCCAAAAACACAAATAATGCCGAGGAATCAACATTTACAGAAAAAACTGGAGATAAACAAAATATCACAAATCCAGCCAAACGTCTCCACTCTTGTCTCTCCAGTTCCTCGGACCATAGTTTTTGTATAGAAAACGAACTTGACGAAATCAAGCAGTCCCTGAAAAATGTACCGAAAAAATCAGACCTAACAGAAATTGTCACCGAGATATTTAAACAATAATCCGAAAACCTAAAAAAAACAAATTAAAAAAGAGATAATGTCGGAAGTAAAGTCAGAAGTCGATAAACTAAAAACCAATTACGATTCCAAAATATCTCATCTTCATGACAAATTAAACACTATAGAGTTTGAAAATGGGAATCTCCTAGAAAAAAATGCTAGTCTGCATTCTGATCTTAGAAAAATGAGAGATCTAGTTGATGAAAACAACAAGAAAACCACTGAAAGTGTTCGGCTTGGTAACTGGAACGAACAATACTCACGTAAGAAAAATGTGAAAATATACCAATTACCAGAAAATCGAAATGAAGACCTACCACATTCTCTCCTTAACGAACTAAAGAACAAAGTCAAATTAGACATCAACCCGTCTGAAATTGTTGCAATGCATAGAATACCAGGGAAAGAAGGGATTCCAAGGCCAATTCTCATAAAATTTCTCAGAATGGATACCAAAATTACACTTCTGCGTAAAAAGAAGAGTATAAACGAAGCACTCAAAGTTAGAATTGGTGATGATATTACAAAACTCAACCAGGGTCTCCTAAATAGACTGTACCAACATGACAATATTGTAAGCTCGTGGTATTTTAATGGTCATGTATATGGATCAGACGAGGAAGGAACTAGACATCGGTTCGAAATATTTGACGACATAGCCAAAAAACTGAAAAAATAAAATGTGTGTAAATCACTTTGAACAATAACATGCTTTCCATATTTGTTTGATATTGTCAAGTACCATTTGTACTTTTATATAATTCCTGTTCATTTATCATTATTTATTGTCTACAACACAAATTTGAACCTTGGATTGATATTTGTCTCTTTGTCTCTCATACCACTCAACTATTTTTATTTTGTAATATTTTCCGGAAAATATACGTTTCCTACGTATTTGGTTTAATTATAGAAATACTCATATTTCCGGTTTGCTTGCAGATTGTAGGGGTAAATTCAGTAAAAAATCTCCCATTAACTTCAATGTTAACCTACATGTTCAATTAAATTTATAACTTTTTTACCTTTAGAAATTAGAAGCTTTCATATTTCATTCATTAAAGTACAAATGTAGCCCCATCTTTTGCAACCATCAAAACATAGGGTCATGCGGCAATTTTGGGCCGTCCACATGGCTTTGTTTACAAACACTGTAGTTTCGCACTTAATTCCTACAATGACCCCATCACTTTTCAATCCTGTTTTAAAAAAAATTAAATGCATTCAGCATTATTTAATTATTTTTTTTAACCTTAGTTTTGATCCATCTAATCAAAAAAAAAATATTGAAAACTTTATCTACCAATCATTGCAGCACAGGTCTTCAATTTTATACTGAAAGCTCTCCCCCAAATGGGCGGTCCCTGATGACGTATATTTATTTACTGAATTTACCCCTATAAGAGACAATTCTTCCTCAAATCATACTTTTCTTGTATTAATTATGTAATTTAGCCTATTTTAAAGTTCAAGATTCAATACAAGATCTGTAAAGGCTTAATTGTCAAAGTTTAAGGAAAATTTGTACTATAGCCCATATTGCGGCCAATGTATATATTTTGTACATAAAGTTGTATATTGAATGTTGTATAAAAAATGATGTAAAATATATTGTTTAATAAATATGAACTTTTTTTTGTGTTTGTTTGAACATATATTGCCAGTTAATCTTAGAAACATAAGTCATGTTATATTCTGAGATCAATGTCTCCATATATGGAAGTTTTAATAAGTATACCCTGAAAATACCACAAAAAGTTGTTTCAAAGGCTTTTAAATGAGTGTCATACAAAAAAAAATCAACAATAATATTTCCCTACACTAAATCTGTGTTTTAATATCTTGTATAGATCATTTTAAGTGCACACAGATAACTATAGGGTCATTTACTATCAAAGATGAGAATGTCTTATCATACTGGTAGAGTCAGAGAAAAAACAGACTTTTCTTCAACTGTCAACCATAAAAATGATATCTTAGCAATAAAATTTGTCCTGTTTCTGCACTTTCCTTTTTCTTACTTTTGTTTAATGAAATCAGAGAGTGACAAATATTGTTATAAGAATAATTATTTCATCAAAAAAAATACTAAAAAATGGGACGTTATGCTGTGCACTTAAAAAAACACAGATTTAAGAAGGGAAATATTCCACATAACAGAGGACTTAAATTGGAAAATGTTAAAATACCTGTATTCCCTGTGGTTAAATTTGAAAGACTATCCAAGGATGACTTTGATCTTGTGACAAAACCTGTAAATATCAAATTCTCTGCTGAAATTCCTATGCACTCAACATCAGGGCGGCTTCTGCGTCCAAAACAGGCAGCCAAGACTGAAGTAGAAAAATGTGCAGAGAATGAAAATAAGACTGGGTAAGATCATACTTTGCATTACAATTGATAAAGCAACTATTTACAGTATTTAATAGAGAATTTTAAGCATCACATTAGAAAAACAAACATTTTATCAACAGTTTATAGATGAAGGGTATCTAATACTGAAAAGTTATACAGAATATTTTTGAATTGAAGAAACGCATTGAATGATGAAATAAATATATTATTTCTACATACCAAATAATTATTCGAATGCTAAAATACTTGAAAATTGCTTATTTACAACAATATCTGCATCACAGCCTTAAAAACACTGCTCTGAAAAATACAGTCTCAAAGGGAGATAATTCTAATTTTATACATGATACTACATAATATAAAAAAGATAAATAAGCAACATTTGCTACACAGTGATGTAAGATAGGGAGTTAATTAAAGTCTTTCATTAATTTTTTACCTCCAGATCTGAAAAATACACCAACAGAACAGTAACAATAAGCAAAAACACAGAAATGTGGAATGAGGTGTTCAGAGAGCATCAGAATGTATCCCCACATTGTAATGGCATCCTTGAATGGGACTTGTCAATGGAAGAGAAGTGGGGATCAGCTTGGAAAGAGTGCGCAAAATGTACAAAATGCACATACAGATCTAAAATGTTTAACTTGTACGAAGAGGTTGCAAGTATAAATAGAGGACGACGCGCAGCAAAAATAAATCTTGGTTTACAAGTTGGTCTACATCATACTCCCATTCGTACAGCAAGTTACCGTAAAATCTGTATGGCCTCAAATATTCCTCCTCCATCTGTCTCTGGTATGCAACACACTGCTAATGCAATATCTGAAAAGATAGAAGAAAAAAATAAGAGAGATTTACAACGACAAAGGGAGAAAATTAAAAGGATAAAAAAGATACGCGGGGAAAATCCTGATGTTGTTAATATTCAATCTGACTGCGTATACAATAATGCTATTTATTCTGGCATTGGGAAGACCACTGAATTTTAATGTGCGTATTGTTATGCGTTTACTTTTCTACATTGGCTAGAGGTATAGGGGGAGGGTTGAGATCTCATAAACATGTTTAACCCCGCCGCATTTTTGCGCCTGTCCCAAGTCAGGAGCCTCTAGCCTTTGTTAGTCTTGTATTATTTTTAATTTTAGTTTCTTGTGTACAATTTGGAGTTTAGTATGGCGTTCATTATCACTGAACTAGTATATATATTTTTTTAGGGGCCAGCTGAAGGACGCCTCCGGGTGCGGGAATTTCTCGCTGCATTGAAGACCTGTTGGTGGCCTTCTGCTGTTGTCTGTTCTGTGGTCGGGTTGTTGTCTCTTTGACACATTCCCCATTTCCATTCTCAATTTTATTTTATTCCCTTTTCAACCAGCAACCCAGTGTGCTTACACAGTAGCTGAAAATGAAACATATAAACATAGCATTATAAACACATTACCAAAGTCTAAGCTCTGTTCGAAGAGAAAGCATACAGTTAGTACGAATGTCGGTGAACATGCTGGTCCGTGCACGGCAAATATTAACATGCAAGACAGTATAGGTAATGAAGAGCGGTGGGCAAGAGAGTGTTTTGAGGAACTAAAAGAGGATGGATTAGAAGTTAATGAAGTAACAACAGACCCAGACAGCAGTGCATACAGAGCAGCAGAGAGTTTATTTCAGGAAGGACTAACTACAACAACCCCCATCCATTTTCTTGACACCAGACATGTAGCATCTAACCATAGAAAATTTGTAAATAATCTATCCACAGTTTGTGACATTATGCCCGCTCGGTTAAAGGTGCAAAGAACCCGGCTACAAAGTTTGTTTGCTTCTGACATGGCAGCCCGTTGTCAGGCAGAATTCGTACAGGCTAATATTAGATATCACAAATCCCCTGATGTTATGAAATCAAAACTTTCATATGTTTCAGATGCCATAGTGGGCTGTTACTGTGGAGATCACACAGATTGTTCCCTATATTCATTTGTTTGTTCTATATCTAGAAAATGTCAATCATGGATTGACAAAAGTGCATATTTAAAGAGGCATAATTTTGAAATTGAGCTAAATGAGAACAGTGAAAATATTCTGCGACAATGTGTCAATTACCGTCTGGGTCCAGGCATGCTTGCTAAAACAGCTAAAAGTGCAAATACACAAAAAGTTGAAGCCCTAAATCGATCCATACGTAGCACTGTACCAGTTAATGTTACCTATGCTAGAAACTTTACAGGCCGGGTACATACGGCATGTCACAAAGTCAATCATGGTAAAGGCAATTCTATCGTCATCTTGTGCGAGGCGGCTGGAAGTCCAATACAACCAGGTACAAAAGTGGCAAAATCTCTAAAAAAATTAGAAGACCATAGTGATCAAATGAGAAATTGTAAATACTCAGAAAACAGTATCAATCATAGAAATGCACGAAAGCATTCTCTGTACGATATACATGCACGGCATCAGGAGGAAAAAGATTATACAAAAAATAAACTTTTACCGGTCACTAAAAACAGTCCTATGTACCCCAAAGACCACTCATATGGCAGACTCCGCAAGTCTACCAGGCTTTCAAATAAATAATATTCACCTTAATTTATAATAAACAATGTGGATGGTGATCCTTTGTACATAAATTTCTCATTCTACACCCCATTCTATCCATATTGAGAGAGTGTGGCTCAAGAATTAAATGTTCCGGCTTCAGACAGATGGGGTTATGGCATATGTGCGAGACATCTAACCGCTCCCCCTGTAAATTTTTATTTGGAATTTCATCCCTCAAAATATGATGTGCATGCATGTAGGACAGCCTGTGAACCCTTTCTATTTTTTTCTTTCCATCAGGCCACACAACTGACTTCTTCCCATAGACCCCATGCTCTCTACCACCAGTCCACTCAGTACACCCATGCCGACCGCAATTAAAAATAGACTTTTGCAATAAAGATAGTGCTATTTGATTCCAAAAGGCTTCCATTGCATTAATAGTTACCAGAAAAGAACTTTGGGGTTCTCAGGTGGCCTTGAAAATGTACAGTGACAGAGTGCAAATTCTCCCTATAGGGGTAAATTCAGTAAAAAATCTCCCATTAACTTCAATGTTAACCTACATGTTCAATTAAATTTATAACTTTTTTACCTTTAGAAATTAGAAGCTTTCATATTTCATTCATTAAAGTACAAATGTAGCCCCATCTTTTGCAACCATCAAAACATAGGGTCATGCGGCATTTTTGGGCCGTCCACATGGCTTTGTTTACAAACACTGTAGTTTCGCACTTAATTCCTACAATGACCCCATCACTTTTCAATCCTGTTTTAAAAAAAATTAAATGCATTCAGCATTATTTAATTATTTTTTTTAACCTTAGTTTTGATCCATCTAATCAAAAAAAAAATATTGAAAACTTTATCTACCAATCATTGCAGCACAGGTCTTCAATTTTATACTGAAAGCTCTCCCCCAAATGTGCGGTCCCTGATGACGTATATTTATTTACTGAATTTACCCCTGTAAACATACACATTTTATTATTTACATCCATTGGTAATTCGTTTTTACACATGCTATTTACACACAAACAACTGACAAATGGTTGCACTATTAAAGGATGTCACATACATCTATCTTCCTAAATATAGTAGTACCAGAATCTAAAAAATAGACAATCTAAATGTGTTTCTCACTTCTGCACTCGTAAATTGAAACTTAAGTCAAGTTTACAAACTTCTGTCAAGCATATTCTATAGATTAGTCTTGTCAATTTCACTGACCATTATTCAATTTTTGTCTGAAATTCAGGCTAAGTGTTATCCTTCTTTTGCTTATTTATTTTGCTTTTGTTTTGTTTTGTTTTCTACATTTTACATTACAATTACTACTACACATCTTTGTAAGTCTAAAACAAAGATTATTGCATGAACACAGACCTTGCTCATTTTTTTTTTTCAATAGTATTACAGTATCACAAGATAAGTGATAATTGACATCGTTAACATCTGTTATTTATCAATGTTTTCTGCATATATATCTCCACTCTGTATATCTATCACCACTTTGTATATCTATCACCATTCTGTATATCTACCATCCCTCTTTATATCAACCACCACTCTGTATATCTACCACCACTCTGCATATCTCTCACCACGTTATATATCTCCACTCTGTACATCTATCACCACTCTGTATATCTATCACTACTCTGTATATCTATCACCCCTCGGTATATCTACCACCACTCTGTATATCTACCACCACTCTGCATATCTATCACAACTTTATATATCTATCACCACTTTGTTTATCTATCACCACTCTGTATATCTACCAACACTATGTATATCTATCACCACTCTGTATATCTATCACCACTCTGTTTATCTACCACTACTCTGCATATCTATCACCACTCTGTATATCTACCACCACTCTGTATATCTTTCAACACTCTGTGTATCTATCACCACTCTGTATATCTACCACCACTCTGCATATCTATCACCAATTTATATATCTATCACCATTTTGTATATCTATCACCACTCTGTATATATACCTCCACTCTGCATATCTACCACCACTCTGCATATCTATCTCTACTCTGTTTATATAACTTTATATATCTATTACCACTGTGTATATACATCACAACTCTGTATATCTATCCCCATCCTGTATATCTACCACCACTCTGTATATACACCACCACTCTGTATATATATCCCCACGCTGTAAATCTATCACCACTCTGTATATCTATCTCCACTCTGGATATCTACCACCACTCTGCATATCTATCACTACTCTGTATATCTACCACCACTCTGCATTACATACATATCTATCTCCACTCATTTATCGAATACCATCTATGACTATAGGACATTAAACAAATACCTGCTATAGCTTTGGGAAATTCACCAAGGAACTGCTATAACTATAGGACATTCAACAAGTTCCTAGTATAACAATAGGAATTCAACACTTACCTGTTATATACTACTTTATAGAATATTCAACAAGTACCTACTATACCAATAGGATATTCAACAAGTACCTGCTTTAGATATAGGACATTCAACCTGTGTTTGCCATCACTATAAGACATTCAACAAGTTCCTACTATGACTATTACTACTCTGTATATCTATCACCCCTTTGTATATCTACCACCACTCTGTATATTTACCACCACTCTGCATATCTATCACAACTTTATATATCTATCACCACTTTGTTTATCTATCACCACTCGGTATAATTTTGAAATTGAGCTAAATGAGAACAGTGAAAATATTCTGCGACAATGTGTCAATTACCGTCTGGGTCCAGGCATGCTTGCTAAAACAGCTAAAAGTGCAAATACACAAAAAGTTGAAGCCCTAAATCGATCCATACGTAGCACTGTACCAGTTAATGTTACCTATGCTAGAAACTTTACAGGCCGGGTACATACGGCATGTCACAAAGTCAATCATGGTAAAGGCAATTCTATCGTCATCTTGTGCGAGGCGGCTGGAAGTCCAATACAACCAGGTACAAAAGTGGCAAAATCTCTAAAAAAATTAGAAGACCATAGTGATCAAATGAGAAATTGTAAATACTCAGAAAACAGTATCAATCATAGAAATGCACGAAAGCATTCTCTGTACGATATACATGCACGGCATCAGGAGGAAAAAGATTATACAAAAAATAAACTTTTACCGGTCACTAAAAACAGTCCTATGTACCCCAAAGACCACTCATATGGCAGACTCCGCAAGTCTACCAGGCTTTCAAATAAATAATATTCACCTTAATTTATAATAAACAATGTGGATGGTGATCCTTTGTACATAAATTTCTCATTCTACACCCCATTCTATCCATATTGAGAGAGTGTGGCTCAAGAATTAAATGTTCCGGCTTCAGACAGATGGGGTTATGGCATATGTGCGAGACATCTAACCGCTCCCCCTGTAAATTTTTATTTGGAATTTCATCCCTCAAAATATGATGTGCATGCATGTAGGACAGCCTGTGAACCCTTTCTATTTTTTTCTTTCCATCAGGCCACACAACTGACTTCTTCCCATAGACCCCATGCTCTCTACCACCAGTCCACTCAGTACACCCATGCCGACCGCAATTAAAAATAGACTTTTGCAATAAAGATAGTGCTATTTGATTCCAAAAGGCTTCCATTGCATTAATAGTTACCAGAAAAGAACTTTGGGGTTCTCAGGTGGCCTTGAAAATGTACAGTGACAGAGTGCAAATTCTCCCTATAGGGGTAAATTCAGTAAAAAATCTCCCATTAACTTCAATGTTAACCTACATGTTCAATTAAATTTATAACTTTTTTACCTTTAGAAATTAGAAGCTTTCATATTTCATTCATTAAAGTACAAATGTAGCCCCATCTTTTGCAACCATCAAAACATAGGGTCATGCGGCATTTTTGGGCCGTCCACATGGCTTTGTTTACAAACACTGTAGTTTCGCACTTAATTCCTACAATGACCCCATCACTTTTCAATCCTGTTTTAAAAAAAATTAAATGCATTCAGCATTATTTAATTATTTTTTTTAACCTTAGTTTTGATCCATCTAATCAAAAAAAAAATATTGAAAACTTTATCTACCAATCATTGCAGCACAGGTCTTCAATTTTATACTGAAAGCTCTCCCCCAAATGTGCGGTCCCTGATGACGTATATTTATTTACTGAATTTACCCCTGTAAACATACACATTTTATTATTTACATCCATTGGTAATTCGTTTTTACACATGCTATTTACACACAAACAACTGACAAATGGTTGCACTATTAAAGGATGTCACATACATCTATCTTCCTAAATATAGTAGTACCAGAATCTAAAAAATAGACAATCTAAATGTGTTTCTCACTTCTGCACTCGTAAATTGAAACTTAAGTCAAGTTTACAAACTTCTGTCAAGCATATTCTATAGATTAGTCTTGTCAATTTCACTGACCATTATTCAATTTTTGTCTGAAATTCAGGCTAAGTGTTATCCTTCTTTTGCTTATTTATTTTGCTTTTGTTTTGTTTTGTTTTCTACATTTTACATTACAATTACTACTACACATCTTTGTAAGTCTAAAACAAAGATTATTGCATGAACACAGACCTTGCTCATTTTTTTTTTCAATAGTATTACAGTATCACAAGATAAGTGATAATTGACATCGTTAACATCTGTTATTTATCAATGTTTTCTGCATATATATCTCCACTCTGTATATCTATCACCACTTTGTATATCTATCACCATTCTGTATATCTACCATCCCTCTTTATATCTACCACCACTCTGTATATCTACCACCACTCTGCATATCTCTCACCACGTTATATATCTCCACTCTGTACATCTATCACCACTCTGTATATCTATCACTACTCTGTATATCTATCACCCCTCGGTATATCTACCACCACTCTGTATATCTACCACCACTCTGCATATCTATCACAACTTTATATATCTATCACCACTTTGTTTATCTATCACCACTCTGTATATCTACCAACACTATGTATATCTATCACCACTCTGTATATCTATCACCACTCTGTTTATCTACCACTACTCTGCATATCTATCACCACTCTGTATATCTACCACCACTCTGTATATCTTTCAACACTCTGTGTATCTATCACCACTCTGTATATCTACCACCACTCTGCATATCTATCACCAATTTATATATCTATCACCATTTTGTATATCTATCACCACTCTGTATATATACCTCCACTCTGCATATCTACCACCACTCTGCATATCTATCTCTACTCTGTTTATATAACTTTATATATCTATTACCACTGTGTATATACATCACAACTCTGTATATCTATCCCCATCCTGTATATCTACCACCACTCTGTATATACACCACCACTCTGTATATATATCCCCACGCTGTAAATCTATCACCACTCTGTATATCTATCTCCACTCTGGATATCTACCACCACTCTGCATATCTATCACTACTCTGTATATCTACCACCACTCTGCATTACATACATATCTATCTCCACTCATTTATCGAATACCATCTATGACTATAGGACATTAAACAAATACCTGCTATAGCTTTGGGAAATTCACCAAGGAACTGCTATAACTATAGGACATTCAACAAGTTCCTAGTATAACAATAGGAATTCAACACTTACCTGTTATATACTACTTTATAGAATATTCAACAAGTACCTACTATACCAATAGGATATTCAACAAGTACCTGCTTTAGATATAGGACATTCAACCTGTGTTTGCCATCACTATAAGACATTCAACAAGTTCCTACTATGACTATTACTACTCTGTATATCTATCACCCCTTTGTATATCTACCACCACTCTGTATATTTACCACCACTCTGCATATCTATCACAACTTTATATATCTATCACCACTTTGTTTATCTATCACCACTCGGTATATCTATCATCACTCTGTATATCTATCACCA